GAACGTGTTATGATGGTCTTTACGTCTGATGAATTCGGTGAGGGCCAGCTCTGTTATGCAAAGTGATTCGTGTGAGGCAAATAACCAATCCGTCATTAAAAGATGCACGACGTACAGTCGCAGTTCAAATTCTGTATGGGAAGCGAGCTGTTCTCAACTTGTCTATTAACTGTACCCATATTTCCTATAAGAGCTATTAAAAAGCGGGGGAGGAATGGATTGTGATTAGTTTCGTAGCGTTGGCTCACATCGAGTGATTCTTTTCCAAGGTTACGGTGGACTTGAAAGGTAATATTATTTTGAAAGAGAAAATGTGCTGTGCGTAGCTCGTCCTCGTGCTGTTATTTATTTTTATTTTATTTTATTTCTGTTTAGAATAAGTAATAAGCACCAGCCAGAGATTCTGAACAGCCTGCTAATGACTGAAAATGAAAATACAGTATGATTTGCTCCTTCCTTCCACCGAGAAGCAGCAAGGTAGCGAGCATTAATATCCCTGTGTTTTGGCCTGTACCAAATCCATTTCCCCCTCTCCGGAACGAGGTGGAAGAAGTGCACTTAGACGCTCGCAGTTTCACTGTTCACCTGCATTTCACTTTCTGAGGAGGTGATAATGACTCCTGGTATAGAAAATCTCCTGTACCATGCCTCCTGAGATTTAATATAGGCTGCACGATAAAAGGTAGCCACCTTGACGGTGGTCAGAGAAAATATTTCTCCCTCAGATTATTTAAGATAGTTTAGTGGATTAGGTGGCTGGATAGCTCTTTAAAAAAAAAAAAAAAAAAAAAAAAAATAGGTACAACAAAACTGAAGAGATGACTGCTGGCCATCCTGAAAGCAATTCGACGTATGGTTTGTGTGTGTCAGTGCAAGTAACTCAGCCGAATGTGCTGGGTGAGAAGAGTAACCTGTGTGCAGGATTGGGCCCACAAGCATGCCTGGTACCAGGTGTTGCTCTTCACCATCAGTGTGCATCCTCTATTTTCAGGATTAGTAAAATACCAAAAGAAAAACTTTTTTTTTTTTTTTTTTTTTTTTTCCCCTCTTACAAATGTACAGTTGAGAAAATCCTTGACTGCATCTATTCCGGCACAGGACAAGAAAATAGTAATTATGACAACAGTAGGACATATTTTGTATTTCAGGCTGTGTGCAGCTGAATGTGACTCAGGGAGTTTTGAAGGGAAAGAAGCAGCTGTATTAGATGGTTACGGTTCACTTTATTGAGAAGAAATTACTGCACAGAAGTGCTTATTTTGATGATCAAGTTTTGATATTTTAAAGCTTTCAGGAAGCCCTGCAGTAAATATTTTAATCAGACACATTAAATATATTTCAGCTGGTCTTATAGAAGAAAAAAATGAATCAAAATCCAATTTCAGAACAATTTTTTTGTTGTGCTGTCGGGTGTATGTGTTTTCTCTCTTGCCCTTTTTTTTTTTTCTTTCTAAAAAGCGTGCTTTCTAGGTAGCGAAGGGGAGATTCCCTTGCTACTTTAGGTTTCCAATAATGAATTGTAGGCTTCTCAAGGCTGGGACACTGGCAAAAAAAATGTAATTCTAAGCAGGGGAGCAGCTCAACTGGCATTCTACTTTCTGTGTAAAATTACTCACCGCCAGTTTGTGTGGGATCAAGGTCTTTGTTAATCTACTTTTGGCTATACCCAAGGCTCTTCTTATTTAGCTATTGATACAAATGATACTGGTTTAAGTAGAATTTCATTCTGCAATGCTCTCTATTTCTGTCTATTCTTTATATTATTAGTTAAATTTGGCTTTGCAGTAATCACTTGGAGTTAGGGCTCCATCCTGCAGCCTTCCAGAAATGACCTCCCTGCCTTGAAGGAGGAGCCCCCTAAATCAAATAAGTGTTGTGGGATCAGAAGAGTTAGGACAGCAGGTATAATGGCAAAGTGTTGGGTCTTTTTGCCTGGTCCCTTGGTGCCGTTTAAATAGGTAGGACCTGATCCAGAGCAATAGGGGGGCTTTCTGTTGGAAGTCAACTGAAAAGGTTATGGTACTGGCTCAGGTCACGATCTTTTTAGGATTATTACCAGTTGTCTTTC